CTATTTAATAAAATTTAAAATATTACTAGTGAGAAGGGTTCCCAAGAGGAATAAGTATTCCTTCAAACTCATTTGCAAGTTATCCCTCTGACTGCACTGCTCTCTAGTAGTGTAACTGGCAACTTCTAAAACCATGGAGTCACATCCTAAGAGCTACATGCCCTGCTTATGCTGTCACCCTGAGATATAATTCCATTGTGAACTAACAGGCCAGTCCACAGCAACTGCAATGAGAAATATCTACCAGAAGACAAGGATGTAAAGTGAAACCTCTAAATGACAAAGACTTCAATTTTCTGTGCAAAGCACTAGCAGTGATAATACAGAACAAGGAAAGGATACAGTGATACAAGCACAGACTGTTTTGCAAAGTTTCCCTTCAGCTGCTGGCAGTCCTGAAATGGGTTACAGAAAGTTAAAATTGTGGTACTGATCACCGCCTGTTCTACAAGGCTGTTTTTAAAAATTAAACAGTGTTTTTCTATTTATTTTTTCACTTAAAACAATATTTCAGTATCTTCCAAAAGCCAGTCCAATCCTGAAACAAGCCTAATAAAGGCAGTACTACACGTATTTTTTGCAGCGATTGCCTTTTCAAGGGTACCCCTTCTGGGAGTGCACAACACAAAACTTACTACAAGCACACTGTGGTATCATGCACATTTGGCATTTTACAGCTGTGCTCTAAAGTTCCTCTTCAAAATTACTGGCAAGGAAGGAAGTTCTGTGTAATTTTAGCACTCAACATCTGAAAAAATTAGAAATGTCCCAACTGTTCTTTGATATGTAGAAAAGAACAGTTGAAAAACTTACAGTTGACTGGTGCTACCTAGGTTACCCATCAATGGCATTGAGACTGGTATATTATTAAGAGAGGTGTATGATGGGAATTGGTTTATTGTGCTGATCCATAGTAACCAACTCCTGTTCGTCCATCATTTATCTCTCTCACCAGCGACATATGGGTTTGTCTATTCACACTCTCAGCATTCTCTCTGCTCCAACAAACAGTCAGCCTTTTCTGCTGGGATAAGGAGATTTTTTAGTTACATCCATTATGTGCGTATCAACATTTATGGCAGGAAGATAATTGCCAAAGAGCTCAGGGGGATAAAAGCTCCCTCTTTATAACACAAACCCCCTTAAAAAAATCAATATTGATATAACACAGTTCAGCACAAAGCCTTGGTGTGTCTTCTCCTTCCTTCAGTTCAAGATGCTGGTTTTGGGTTTTAAACATTGCAAGTCAAACTGGAACATCAGGTAGAAAGCCTTCATAGTGAGTTACATCACTGCTCTTCCCACAGAGGATGATATAGCAGTGTACAATATTAATTGTTCCTCAAAGAAGTTTGCAGCAAATGTGTCAGATATAAAGAGGACTCCTTGGAGAGGTGCCAGCACCATTTAAACTGATTTAGCTATCTTTATTTGGAGACCATACCAATTACTAATGAATCGTAACTTATAGTCACCTTCGCCTAAACGCTGAAAAACGCTGACACAGCCAGCACCAGGGAACAATGAGAAGCTGGGGATTCTGCCCCTCTCCCTGTTTCAGGAGCTCAACCTTCTACTACTTCAACCCCCAGTTTGGATAAATCCATTTGTCACAGCTTCTACATGATTTCCTTCACTTTCCCATGGCTATGTACTCACAAAAGTTATTTTAAGGAGACTTTTATCAGAGTAGCAAGTAACACAGAACATGTATTGATTAAATTACAGGGAACCAGTCAGTTGCATTGTACTTAACCTACAGGACGACTCAGGGATTTTTCTTACTGTTATTCTTGCCCTTGTGTTTCCTTCTGCCTCCCTAACTTTTGTCTCTCTCATGAAGCCCATTATTGGGTCAGTTCTTGTCCTACAGTCACACCCAGGCAGGTTAGTGACCTCTTAAGTCAGGGCAAGAGTATCACCGTGACACCTGGGATCATGAACTCTTCCAGTAAATCTTCCTGCATATTCAGAAACCATCTAGCACAATAGCTTCTAAATCCCGTTTTAAATCTCCAAATACTACCACGCTGTAACATTTACAATGGGGTCAGTAAAAAACATTGTATTTATTAAACACTCCTACCTGTGTTAAGAGGAAGTCATACAAACATTTTTTTAAAATATAACTGTCTCCTTTAATTACTAATCCCTCTCCAAAACCTCTAACAACTACCTTAGCTTGAAAAAAATCCAAGACACTTTACAGTTCAAAATACTTAGTTACAAGGGACCAAAAGCAAAGCCCTGTCAATATGTGCTTTTCTGATTTTGAAGTATTACTTAAAAGGAATAAAAATAGAGTTGAATAACCACATGTAAAAAAGAGAGAAAACCCCTCAAAAATAAAAAGCTGGATTGAATTCGAGCTGCTCAATTGTGAACATTGAACAGCTTTTCACTCACTCGACGGCTGTTAACTGCATGTTACCTGCCTTACAGTACAGACTATTTGTTTTTTATCCCTGAGCAACAGACTATTTCCTGGTTGAGTTTAAAAACTCTGTGACGTTCCAATATCAACCCACACATGTGTGTCACTGTCAACGTCAGTCGCAGGAAAACATTAGAAGTCACCCCTTGCTAATGCTTTCCTAACATGGAATTTCCTTGTACCTCGCCCCCCAGCCCACCTCCTCCTTCAGCTGAGAGCATCCTTCCCAAAGTGCATTTTTTCCCTCCCTTCTAAACATATGGCAGGGAGAGAGGACTGAAAATGGGCAGTGCCAGCACTAGATCGCTGCTTTTTTAGGTGCTCGCGTGTAACTTACTCCAACTGCTCTCGCTGCCTGGCACTGGGCGAGCGCGGCCGCGGGGAAAAGCCCCCCGTGCGTGGGGGCTTCCCCCCTCCCCGGGGCGAGGGTTCCCCCGGGCAGCTCCGCCTCGGAGCAGGAGGGCACGGCCCGGGCAGCCCCTTTTTGGGGGCTCGGGGCTGTCGGTGCGCCGGGGGAGCCCGGCCCGGGGGAGGCAGCACCCAGCTGCCGGCACCGCCGGGTTCAAGGCCGTTCCGGCTCCCTGTCTCCCGGCGGCACCATATGGTCCATCTTGCACATCGGCAGCTTTATTTCCCCATCAGCTCGGCCCAGAGGGGGAGCTCCTGGAGCGGCAGCCACCCCCTGCCCCGCAGCCCCCCGGGGCACCGGCATTAGGCATTACCCGGGGATTACGGGGCTAAGTAGGGGAAGACTCGCGTTATATAACCGGGGGAGCGTTCCGCCCTCACGGCGCTCCCACAGCCCGCCCTCCGGCCCAGCCGGGGCGGCCGCACGGCGGCGGGGGGGGGAGCCCGGCGCCTCCGCCCCCGGCCCGCGGAAGGGGCCAGACGCTGTTAATCCCCCCGCTGGCGGGGCGGGGAGGCACCGCGGGGTGCCCCCGCTGCCCGAGGAGGAGGAGGCGGAGGAAGGCTCTTCCAGGAGTCTCCTCGCAAGTGGCCGATGCTCGCAGCGTTCGGCGGCTTCCGACGGGACGAGGCGAGGCGAGACGAGACGAGACGGCCGCGCGTCCCCCGCACGCCGCACCGGGGACCTGCCCGCCCGATCGCGCCAGGCCGCGGCTCCGCGGCGCCTCCCGCCCCGCTCCCCGGCCCCGGGCTCCGCCGCCCCCCCGCCGGGAGCACCGTGGAAAACAAAAGCGGCCTTTTAATTTATTGTTCCGGGGGGAGGCTAGAGGGGGGGCGGTGTGAAAGGAAATCAAAGCCCGTTTTCTTCCCAGAAACGGCCGTTCTCCCCGGGATCCCTCCGAGTCACCCTGGTGACAACCCCCCTCCAGCCAAAGACGAACAAAAGCCGCGGTGCCCCCGGCACCGGCGCTCCTCCGGGCCGAGCAACAGGCCGGGAGAGGCGGCGGAGGAGGGACCGGGAGGAGGGACCGGCTATTGACGGGGGAGAGGGGCAGCCCCTGCCTTGGGGGGGACGTGGGACCGAGCCAGCGAGCGCCGTGTTTACCCTGCCATTGCTCCGAGCCCCGATCTTAACCACAGCATCAGAAACCAAAACAGTTTAAAGCGTGAGTCAGCACGCGTTTTGTTCACGCGTTCTGTTCCGAGCACACGGACGGACGGACGGACGGACGGTCCGGCAGCGAGCGGCGGAGGCGCCGCGCCGGCAGCAGCGCCCGCACTCGGGGCTGTTCCCGCACACGCGCTCCCGCAGCCCGGGCTCAGCGCCGCGCTCCACGCTCCCGTCAGCAACAACCTTCGGGGCTCGGACGAGCCTTTTGTTCACAGTCCTGCCTTATCGAACGTGCGCTTCAGGTTCCCAAAATAACCGGGCACGCGGCTGCCAACGCAAATACCAGGAATTATTTAAAAAATTATACTAGAGGGACCACCGCTAGCCCCTCCACGCGTGACACCCTCCCGGCGGAGTCCCCGGGCGATGACGGGTTTATCCTCCCCTGCCTGTCTGATCCAAGTTTAGCTGGAAATCCCCGGACGATGGCTGAGCCGGCCCGGCCGCGCTGACACGAGAACCCGCGGGCTGGCGGTGCCGGGCGCACCGGCGGGTCCCCGCTCCCGCTCGCCCCCGACAGCATCCACCGCCTCTTCCCGCAGCATCCACCGCCTCTGCCCGCAGCCCAGCGCGTCACCACCCGAGCAATGACACGGAAACCCGCGGAGCGTCCCCCGCTGCCGGGCACTGGCTGCCCCGCCGCCGTGCCCGGGACCGCACCGCACCGCAAACCACCTTCTTCACCACCATTTTAAAGCCCACGGACCCCCTCCCTCCAGCCCTCCTCTCCGTGGTCCGACTTCAGCTCTGACCAGAATGGAGGGCGAAATTCCCCCCTCAAGTTTCTGTCCCCTTCCCTCCGGCGGCCCCGGCACACGGGACCCGCGGGCAGAGCGAGCCCAAGGTGGGCACTTTCTTGAACCGCCCCTGCAAACTTTCCAGCCTGCCTGCGACCGTGCCGAGCCCGCTGACAACTGTTCCGAGGGTGTTTAAGTCCTTTTAAACCAGCTCCTACTTTCCCAGACCATATCGATTTCAAATGCTACTTACTGGAATATGTGGCTCCATCCGTGGTGCTTCTACCCGCTGGGAAACCAGCAGCATCTTGGACTGGGAATCAGCCGGCTTTTAGATCCACTTTGGCTGTATTGAGCAAACCCAGCGCCGCAGAGGACTCGCAGCCTGTTTTCTCCTTTTAGGTTCCAGACAAGTTCATCCTGGCGTTGCAGTTTGCTAATGATTCACTGTCTGTCTCGATCTGCTCACTACATTTCCATCAACCCACAGCTTCCTCACTTAGAAGGTGGAGTTTGTGGGGTTTAAGTTACTGATAGGCATATCTAAGTGCTGTGTCACTCAAAGAGGAGGAGACACACACACACTCACACACACAGCCCGCACACTCACACACACGAACGGCGCCAGGCTTAAAGGGGAAGTAACACTTTCTACTCCTCAGAAATTGGACACCTCACAGATCCAAGGATTTAATTTTTTTTTTCTCCGTGCGTGAAGGCAAAAATTAACCAGGCTATGGTCAAAATTCTAACACACAAAAAGCTGCTTAGAATGTTCAGCACCTTGCTTGTAGAGCTTCAAATTTGTTTAGTACAAAGTAATTTGTTTAGTACTTTCTTTTTAGGTCAGAAAGCTACTGGCAATTAATAGATTTTTTTTTCCCTTCCAAATCAAACTGCTCAAATCACTGAAAAGAGAACTCAAAGCATGAAGTGTAAAGGTTTGGGTTATTCTTACAGAGTGTAGTTTCCTGTCCCTTTATGACATAAGATGTTCAGCACTCTTAACACGAAAGGGTTAAACTCATTTCGCCCAGGTGAACCCAGGTTAGCGAGAAGGAAGCAGCAGAGTTCTTTCATTTTCATCTTTTGTGCTATGTACATGTCTTTTTGAAGACAGACACAATTCCAAATAGAGAGCTCCCATAAAGCCAAGCACTTCTCATATGACTATAAATGTGCTTGCTACAAGCTGCAACCTCTGAATACTAATTTTGATAGACCATCAACTGAAAGCTGAGAACCTATTCAGACCTCCTCTTGGACTGTGCAGAAAGAACTGGGAAGAGCAAGCTGCAGGCAGCTAGGAGAGCACACTGGGTTCACAAATAATTGCTGGTATAATTTCATTTTATTACCTTGCTAAATCACTACAAATGTCACTCCTATCCTGATAAACTGGAGATGCTAGAAACCCTGTCCCAGTACATTGACTCAATGGATGAGGTGTGGAAGACTTACTAGCATTGGTAATAAAATGTCTAGTTTCTAAGATCATTCCTGAAATAGTCATGTGAGTAAATTATGCTCTGTAAAATTAGGAAGAAAGTTATTTGAATACAACCCCTTTACTGTAACCAAGTACATAAAAGTGGAACCAGAATCTGACCTCACTTTCCTGAAAGTTTTCCAGACAGCAATCACCTTCAACTTGCAGTAAACTTACAAACCTCCAAACCCATCTTTGTACCCTGAGCTAATAAATACTGGCAATAACAGTTCATCAACAGAGAAGCATTGCTTTTTAGCTTTGCTGAAGCCTCTGGCTTGCCTGTGACAGCTGCAACAATGGGCCCGCTTCCCTGAGCAGTATTTGTGGTATTTCAGTTTGCATTGTTTGGAAACTGATTGGTTTGCTTTTCTAGTGCTCTTGCCTTTTAGCCTTTTATATTATTTTAAATTACTTTGATCTATTTTGTCAATTGAAAAAAAAAAAAAAAAAAAAGAAACACAATAATAATAAGCTTTTGTGTGCGTAAACACCGTGAATTCTACAGCCTCTGAGGGCCAGATCTCAAAAGGTTTCAGTGACTAAGGGGAGGTGTATCAACATCTGATGTTTGGGTTTGCTGGGCTGCCCAGACCAAATCTACTACCCTGCCTGAGGTGCTGAGGCCCAAACACAGCATTAGGGCATCAGCATGGGATCAAAAAGAGCCAACATGCTGAGCAGGAGTCACTAAAATAAGCAGGCTCACTGAAGATACACATTCATCACGCTTGAATTAAGCTCCACAGGAAGGAGGTGCCACAGTCTGCCTAGTGTGCAATGTCAGAAACCCTCCCCTGAAGATACATGTGTGTGTGTAAGGGCTCCCAGCTTTCTCCCTGGAGATTTTTGAACTAAAATACATATATACAGAACATGTGGGGCACAGGGATTCACACACACTGTAGCTGTACCTACTGACAACACCATGATCAGATGATGAACAGTGGGTCCATGTCAGTTTTTCTATACCAGTTATCGTCAAGAAGTTTTGTCATTTATGACTCTTGCCAAAGATCTGTAGTTCCTGACAGATGACAATACTTCCTAAGAACTGTCATTTGCTTTGTTCACTTCATAAAACGAGACCAAAGGCCTCCCCCAAAATGAAGATGATGTGGGTGGGGTGTATAGAAGCCCTGTCTGTGCCTGCTCTGCAGCAGGAATGATGCTGCTGCCTTTAGTTGCCAAGGGCATCTGCTTGCCAGGTAATGGTTTGTGTTCTCCTCTGTAAGGTGGGGTGTGCTCTCAGAGGGAAATCAAATCAAGCCCCTTTTAGCAGTTAGTCCATGACAGAACTGTGGCAACACTTTCCTTCTGAACCTGCTGGCTTAAGCTGTGTGGGCTGTGGATATCACTCCAGCAGCTCAGTGCCAAGTGTGCCCGTGCTGCCAGACCTGGTGCACGGGGCTGATCGGCCTGGATGGTATGTGCTGGCATGCTCAACAGTGGCAGGACAGCTTTGGGTGTGCTCAGAACCCCAATTTCAGGCAGTGTAAGCATTTAACAAACCCCTTGCAGAAATCACTAATTTTCAGTGATAAGTAATGGCTAAGCAGGGGATTTCAGGGCTGCAATTTTGGTCTTTGGTGATTAAATTATGAGCCCTTTCTTTAGGCATATTTACTCTAGTTGACCTGAGGGAATCCTTGGCTGCTCTGGAATCAATAACAAAACTTTCAGTGGCTTCTTCAGGGCAGTATCTCATTTCTCAGGTTAGGCTTACCCTAAGCATGTTGCAGGCTACCTTATTGCTATGCTTCTGTCCTATTTTGAGAAAGTGACTTGTAGGATTCTGCAGAAAAGATGTGATTCTAATGGCATCAAGGCTGTTATGGCCATGAGGCTTGACAAAACATATTCTAGTACCTCAAATGCTTCTCCCAATGCTGGGCATCAAACCTGGGCCTAACTGGTTGATTAATCACATTATTTATCAATTTTACAGTAGTTTGCCCCATTTAATTTAGCATCTTTAATATGCATAGAAAATATAGTTTGCTTTGTTACTTTATAAAACTAGTATAATTTCTTTCCACATAGAGATGTCTCATTCAAAAGCCAGAGTCGGAGAGCTGAGAAATTATAACTTTATCTGAAAAATAACAAAAGGATGAGAAGAGTGCCTTGAACCAAAACAAAACCCAAAACACATAACAATCCAAAAATATCCCAAACTAGACCAATGTTTTTCCTTTACTCACTGTTCTGAAAAAGCAGTATCTTTCTAAGGAGAACAGTTAGCTGGAAAGCTGCAATATGCTAAATAACTGCCCCAAGTTGTGTTCACCAAACAAAAGGATTGTGCACTCAGACACAGCCTTGATGGGTTGTGTCAGCAACAGGCACTGCCAATGTAAGATGGCCAAGGGCTAGAGAAAAGGTTTGCATCTTCCAAGCTGGTGTGAACTAAAGATGCTAAAACTGAGCAACCAGGTAACCATGATGCTGGGATTCTGTTCTCTCAGGAGAGCTGTGCCTGACTTCCAGCTGGCCTCTGGTGTTCCTGACACCAGAAAGGATAACAGAAGTCTGAGCAGACAAGGGCTGCCCCACAGCTTGTCTTGTACACTGAAGGGAAGCAGCAAGTGAGCAGCACAAGGATTCACCATAGATTCACTGAAGGATTCACAAATTTGTCAGTGCCTCAGAACCAGATGGATGGCAAGCATGTGATGCTTTCTACTTGCACGTTTGCAGCCTGAAATCAGGTGAAATCAATGGCTTGGGCTAGATGAATCCTCAGCTGGACTAGTCAGTACTGCATTTCTTATGCTAGATCAGATCAGCAATCCAGCTAATTTGGTATCTTGTCTCTGACCACAGGCAATAGCTGATGTTATAGAAGATAGAAAAGAAACTTTTACTGAGTAGTTGCAGGACAAGTTGCAGGTAGTGGTGCAAGCCTCTTAGCAAGTTTCTTTTTAAGCAAAGCCAGTCTGTAATTGGCTGATGCTCAGAACCAGGAAGGCTCATGTCCTTCAGGTACTTCCCCACAGTACAGTATAATAAACTAGAGATGAAATTACTAATGCATGCAACATTTCAATTCATTTCTGAAAGTCACAATACTATCAGCATCAGTAACATTGTGTTGAGTAAAACAGCATCTCAGGACATTTCATTGCATGTCCTTTTTCATAGCATCAAACCATTCTTTGCTGCTATGGTTGGGAGACACCTTAAAGCCCAATTACCTCCAGTCCCCTGCCATGGGCAGGGACACCTTCCACCAGACCAGGTGGCTCAGGACCCCATCCAACCCCACTGTGAACACTTCCAGGGATGGGGCATCACCGGCTCCTCTGGGCAACCTGTGCCAGGGCCTCAACACTCACAGTAAAGAAATCTTTCCTAATATCTAATTTACATCTACCATCTTTCAGTTTCTCTCTTTTCAGTCCTATCAATACATTATTTTTTCCTATTAGAAGTATATGGAAAATATCTAAAAATAGATAAAATGCATCAATAAACAATTTTAATTTACTCAGTAATGCTTGCTAAATTGAGTAATTCTGTAAGTCATATAGAAAAATCTGTGTATAATTGGTAATGTAGCAATTGAATTATTTTAAAGAAACATTACTTTTAGGAAAATAAGCTTTAAAATAAAAGGCTTTTGACTGTATGCAGTTAACGAAAGGTTTTCAGCATGGTCTTCACTGGACATGAAACAAGAACACATACGATCAACTTTTTGTAAGTCCTTCAACTTCCATAAGTCATTATTTACATGCATTCCCATGGAGAGTCTATAGGTAAAATCATCAAAGGATGGATGGCCATACTAACATTTCAGTGGGTACATGAACTACCCCTTAGAAAATTATATAAATTAAAGTGAATTACAATTTTGTCTTTTATATGGAAAAACAGACACCAATCTAATCTCTGCTTAGAAGTTAAGAGATGACAACTCTGTGAGTATCTTCTTCATACTTTCAGAAAAGTACATTGTCTTCTACTGAAGTATCACTTAAAATCAAGTTGTTAATGTCTGCTTAGCGGCCAAATGCT